TTAAAAAATGTGTCTTTACAAAAAAAATAACAGCATTAAACAAAGATGAAATAGCATGCATAATTCAACAAATTTTGAATAAAATAAATTTTATGATGACTTTTCATTTGGAGAGTGAAACGAGCGTTGTATCAAACTATGTGTAAATTGAAAATGCTTTAAAATTTCATATCAATTGATGCATTAGTTTCTCAGATTATTTGTTGAAAAGTTTACTGGCAGTCACAGAGAGACGCAAATGGGAGACCTACATTTTCGTGACGTAGCCGACAACTGAAAAAAATTGGAAATATTGGTGGTTGTTGATTGAGGGTCTCAAACGAAGTTCTTTCAATACCATTGGAGATCTAAGAAACGGCTTAAATTGTAATAAACTATTTAACTACAGACGTTAGATGCGTATGCACAAGAGAACTAGCAACAGAATATTGCTATTTGCTTAACATTTTTAGACTATCCTATCCGCATAAGATGACTTTTTGTTATAATAAATTTGTAAGTATAAGTGAAGAAATAATTAGTGGGGCACATTTGAGCATGGCCTCCAGGTTCCTGAAGGATTTCGAAAACAAAATAATTACTGGAGAGAATAAAATTTCTTACAATATTTTGATATTCTGTTCTAGTAGGTAACTAAAAATCATAATATCTTTTGAAAATATTTTATTAATAATTGAAACACTTTTTTAAAATATCATTTGAAAAAAAAAAACACTTCAAAACAATCTATGTCCGCGATCGCCTGCATTCGCTTTCAGAAATGCAGTCTCCTCCTTCTTCTCTCCTGATAAAGCCTGGTTTACAAATACATCCTTTTGGACACCACAACAATAGGCATTGTACAGGATTGTCAATCAGTGCACATGTACCTTCACAAGCCAGGCATTCCGTTATTTCTTCGTTTTCTTTACAAGGCGCTGTATAGTTTCGAGTTATTTCAGGTGGATCCACACAGCTTTCAATAGCTACACACTTTCCTCCCTCTTTTAGTCTAATATATCCTTCTTTACATAGACATCCTCCCTGACAAGTGTTATATACACAGGGGGGTTGTTTGGGTTTCTCACAAGTTGGTAGACAGTATTCTACGCAGTCTGATGGAACTTCGTTCAAGGGGCAGGACGTTGGTTTAGTACCAATTCTGCCCAAGTTAGAAGATCTGGAATCTGTTAAAATGGAATGGGAAATCAACAACAAAACACTTATTCGGACGAGCATGGCTGCAGCCGACGATAAAATCATGAACAGATTGACAAGCGAATTGATACTAAATTTGTTCACAGTGTATTCTCAGTTTATATTGCTTTTTTTCTTTGCACGACATTGTTGCGGGTCACATATACATAAACTAAAACTAGTGTGGGTTTAAAGTCCTAATAATTTTTTTGAGAATGGCAAGTTTACCAGTAAACTGATAAATGAAAATAATCTTAAAATATTGCATATCAAACTAATTGCAGAGTCATCATCCATAATGGCAACTTACAAATTTTTCTTCCTCCATGTACAACACCATTAAAACAATTCTTATGTAATCTTTATCCAATTCAAAATTTTAGGGTTAAACTGTTTCAATTTTTAGCACCAGAATTTTCATGTCATGAAAAGCTGGAAAAAAATTTAAAAATTGTTTCGGGTTGTAATGCAACAAAAATAAGATAAATCAGACTGAAAAGATCATAAGTTTAAATAGGAAAATAGAATTGTTCACTATCAACAGTTGTGTCTACTGATATGGATAGAAATGTTTCTCTAACTCTTTCCCCCTTATTTGGTATTTGCACAAGATCTATAACAATACGAGGCTAACACTGTACCCGCTACAAGCTAGGATATTTGTGTTCTAATTTAGGAAAGAGAATATAATTTTCTTTCGAACGAATTAAGATTTGGGTGAATTATAAAAATTACATAATTTGGAATTATAGTCAGAAATTCAGGTAAATTAATGATATTATTTTTTTGGGGCTCCCTAAATCCCTGTAAATACCGTACCTAAGAGTTAATCCACCATTTTCCAGACACCCGGTATATACGGGTAAGTCATTAAGAAAAATTCAAAAACCTAATTGTACGGTTCTTTGAGGACTGTACTCTAAAATTATTTTTAATAATACAGAGTGTTCTGTTTTTAAGGCATAACACAAAAATATTTTTTTTTAATGAAATACCCTATATATTTTTATAAATAAAGATACGTATTTTGTTGTGGTATCAACTAAATCAAATTTTAAGACACAGAGTGTTTATAAAAAATTAACTTTACAATTTTCAAATATCGATCCTTCAGTTATTTCAAATTGAACACCTTGTACTATAGCTTTTGTCATCATTCTCATTCACGTCGATGTGTCTTAAAAAAGTAAAAAATTACAGTAACTATCAATTTTAAATATAGAACATATTCAGCAAGAAAGGAAGAAAACAAAAAATAGAATAAGATGCAGTAAAAAAATACAGGATATCTTTCTTTATCTCTCCACAAAATGTAATGCAGATTTTAAAACTAACCCTACTGTAATTTTTTTTGTACACCTCTCCATTGCTAAAAAATTCAAGAAAATTGCTGCAACGTGGTACGTAATTTAAAAATAAATTGTAGTTGTAAAGCTTAAGCAATTACAATATGTAGCTGTTTTAATTAAAAAACTAATTTGTGTGTTATGCCTTAAAAACACAACACTCTGTATAGTTAACTAATAATAATTTTAAAGTACCATACATACATATATCTAGTATAGTATTTTACCTCCTTAGGGGTGAAGTTTTCAAAAACGTAGGGACAGGGAAATGTTAATTTTTAACTATACGTAAACCTACTAATCCAACTTCATGTTTATTGTCTCGAAAATTACGCGACCACAAATTTTCATCCCCTATTTGACTCCTTCGGGGGTGCAATTTTCGCTAAAACAGGTAAATATTTAATGTGTAACCAGAAGCCTAAATACGAAATTTCAAGTTTTTATTTTGAAAATGTAGGATAGAACAAACTTTAAGATTTTCATTCCCTATTTTAGCCAACATCTTAGAGGAGGAATTCGAAAAATCCAGCCTTAGTCTTTCTCTATATCATAAAGAGAACTTCTGTACAAAATTCCAGCTTTCTAGGTCCAAGGGTTTGGGGTCTGACGTTGATGAGTCTGTCAGTGAGTGGGTCAGGACTTTTCTTATTATACATGTGTATTGATAAGATGATAAGTAATAATTTTATTTTCTTTGAAATAACGAACATTTGGTCTAAAGTGGCTGATATAATCCACAGAGGGTGTCGTTCACATACTCTTAAACAAAATACATTTGTCTAAGGGAAAAGTTAAATTATGTAGTTGCTTTTTCTAAATTTTCTAAAACTGGAGCTATATTTATTTTATTAAAATTTGCGATTTAACGTTACACTTTTTATTAGGCAATTTCTGAGGCACGAAAGCTAAGATCGCTTGTAATAACATATAATCGAAAAAAAGTTGTCTAGTCAGCCATGGAATTAAATAAAAAAAATGTATTGGCAAAATCTGTGCATCGCACTAAACAGTATGACCGTTCACTGTTTTCTTGCTAAATGATTTTTGGTAATAAATTTGGATAAACAAATTTTATGTTCTGTTTCAAGCATTGTTTTTTATTACACTGACAATACAAACGTCAAACTGAGAGGTAACTTAAAGAAAAACAACGGTATCCTCACCACACTTAAAAAATATCCATGGTTGATTTGACGACTCTTTTTAATCTTATGGTATCTATAAAACAATCACTGTTTGCTTGGGCACTTATTCTCATTACTAAAGCTAAAAATGAGGGAAGTGTGAGCATAATATGCATGGATATTCGGTCAAAAATGCAGCAGCACATGAAAATCTGCGCACGAATACAAAATTATTATTTTATTTCTTCATCAGGTTGGTAATCAATAGAACAGATATTACAAATTTACGGTTATTAAGTATTTACACAGATATTTTTAAATAATGACTTACAAATTAAATTCCAACAAAATTTATTTATTAAAAATTATGAGAATAAGTCTGTGTTATTTTTATTGGTTCAGTTAATACTAATTATGGTTTTAAAATTATACGTTATAGGTTTTTTCAAAAAGTTATTACATTTGACTTTGGGAATTTTATTTTTTTATGATAATCTTGATAAGTTAAAATAAAGACATGTATGTAATATTCAAGTTTTAAGTGAGTTTTTTCAAATTTTGTGATGACGTCATCAATATTTTTGCAAGGGCATATCAGTTTGGATACAATAACAACAGTACTGTATTCCCAAATTTTTGGGAAAATGGAGTGGGTCATTCTGGATTTAATTAATAAAATAAATTGCCTCACTCATTAGTTTTTTTTTAATTAACTTGTATAAGTAATTCTGAAAGTATGAGTGCATTGATTAACCATAAGTATAAAGTCATAATATTTTGCACATTTCAAAGGGGAGTTATTACGCCATAATTTTGAGATGTCAATAATTTTTTGGGAAGGGATAAACGAATAAATTTGGATTAACGATTTACCATGATTACAGTAAACTTAGAACCTTTGCAAGATTTCAGAGAATTGGGTTTTGCAGTTTCAATATTAAATTGCAAAATGTTGATCTTTTAAAACTCCCACGTATTCATACTTGACGTTAAGATTTCAGACATAACTTTATTATGTATACGTTAGGGGTGAGGGAAGCTCTGTCTAAACCTTAGGCCATTTTTTTCCTTTAAAAGGATCAGTTTGATATTGAATGAATCTTTGCTACAATTTTTGCAGATTTTCTTCTTGTTTATTAGGAATTTATTATAATTTCTTTTGAATTAATAAGAGTGAACGATACAAAAGGATTGAATTATAAAGTTTGACGTTCGTTGCCTAATGTACTTGACTTGGTGTCAAGTGGCCACAGCATCGGAAATTTTCTTCATGATTTTTTCATATCAAAAGGGCAACATATATGTATTTACAACCCGAAGACTAAATACCACGGAATAAAAAATGTTAAAATATTTTACAGGATTTTGATATAATGTTCTATATTAACAACTGAAACAAATTTTGTTACTAAATATTTGAAAAAAAAACCGTTAAAACTAAGATAATTAATCTATGTTTGAGATCGCCTGCATTCGCTTTCAGAAATGCAATCTCCTCCATCTTCTTTCCTGATAAAACCTGATTTGCAAGCGCATGCTTTTGGACACCACAACAACAAGCACGCTACAGGATCGTCGATATATGCACAGGTGGCTTCACAAGCCACGCACTCCTGGATTTCTTCGTTTTCTTTGCAAGGTGCTGTATAGTTTCTACTTATTTCACCTACGTAAAAAATATGAAAGAGTAATTTCAAAGTTTTACACTTTACCTGGTTCCACGCAACTTTTAATAGGTACACACTTTGCTCCCTCTTTTACTCTAATATATCCTTCTTTACACATACATCCTCCGAAACAAGTGGTATATGTACAGGGAGGTTGTTTGGGTTGCTCACAAGTTGGTAGACAGTATTCTATGCAGTCTGATGGAACTTCGTTCAAGGGACAGGATGTTGGTTTAGTGCCAATTCTACTCAAGTTAGCAGAACTGGAATCTGCTAAAAGCAAATGGGGAATCAATAATAAAACACTTATTTGGAAGAACATGGCTGCAGACGAACATAAAATAATGAACCAACTGACAAGTGAAATGATACTAAATTTTTTAACCCTGCCTTTTGTTTATATTCCGTCCTTAGTATTATTTTCCTTGCACTAATGACGTTGTCGCGGGTCAATGTCATAAACTTATGTAAATTTAAACTCCTAATTAGTTTGTTGCCAGTGGCAAGTTTATCAATAAATTGATAAATCAAAATAATCTTTTAAAATATTGTTTACCAAACCATGTTAGTGATAATCCATAAACCACATGTTTTATTCCCTCTAAAGTATGAAAAAGTTGATCCCCATTTCCGTCTGTATGTCCTTTGTTAGAAATTACAACAAATAAATAATCTCCGAAACTACTGGAGTGATTGTAATGAAATTTAATATGTATTTTAGCAACATTTAGTAAAATTCTAACCAAAACGTGTCTGATCATCCTTATCAACAATTCGATGACGTCGTCTCTAAATTTCGTAAAGGAAATAACATTTAAATTTTATAAAATGATACTTCTTTATATACTCGCGATGTATGGTTCTGTGTTAATTTTATTATAAAATTTTACAGTTTAACTTAGAAACTGCAAAACCAAATGATCTGAAATCTTGCAAACAGTTTAAGGTTTACATTTTCTCAAATATTGATAGAAAAGAATTTTATCGTTTCCAAGATAAACGAGAAATAAATATGGAGATATATTTTAAAAAATGTGTCTTTACAAAAAAAATACCAGCGTGTTATTAAACAAAGATGAAATAGCATGAAGAATTCAACAAATTTTGAATAAAATAAATTTTATGATGACTTTTCATTTGGAGAGAGAAACAAACGTTCTATCAAACTATGTGTAAATTGAAAATGATTTAAAATTTCATATCAATTGATGCATTAGTTTCTCAGATTATTATTTGTTGAAAAGTTTACTGATACACACAGAGAGACGCAAATGGGAGGCCTACGTTTTCGTGATGTAGCCGACAACTGAAAAAAGTTTGAAATATTGGTGATTGTTGATTGAGGGTCTCAAACGAAGTTCTTTCAATACAATTGGAGATCTAAGAAACGACTTAAATTGTAATCAGCTATTTAACTACAGACGTTAGATGCGTATGCACAAGAGAAATAGCAACAGAATATTGCTATTTGCTTAGCATTTTTAGGCTATCCTAGCCGCATAAGATGACTTTTTGTTGGACTAAATTTGTAAGTATAAATGAAGAAATAATTAGTGATGCATATTTGAGCATGTCCTCCAGGTTCCTGAAGGATTTCTAAAACAAAATAATTGCTGGAGAGAATAAAATTTCTTACAATATTTTGATATTCTGTTCTAGTAGGTAACTAAAAATCATAATATCTTTCGAAATTATTTTATTAATAATTGAAACACTTTTTTAAAATATCATTTGAAAAAAAAAAAACACTTCAAAACAATCTATGTCCGCGATCGCCTGCATTCGCTTTCAGAAATGCAGTCTCCTCCTTCTTCTCTCCTGATAAAGCCTGGTTTACAAATACATCCTTTTGGACACCACAACAATAGGCATTGTACAGGATTGTCAATCAGTGCACATGTACCTTCACAAGCCAGGCATTCCGTTATTTCTTCGTTTTTTTACAAGGCGCTGTATAGTTTCGACTTATTTCAGCTGAATCCACACAGCATTCAATAGCTGCCCACTTTCCTCCCTCTTTTAGTCTAATATATCCTTCTTTACATAGACATCCTCCCTGACAAGTATTATATATACAGGGGGGTTGTTTGGGTTTCTCACAAGTTGGTAGACAGTATTCTAGGCAGTCTGATGGAACCTCGTTCAAGGGACAGGATGTTGGTTTAGTACCAATTCTGTCCAAGTTAGAAGATCTGGAATCTGTTAAAATGGAATGGGAAATCAACAACAAAAAACTTATTCGGACGAGCATGGCTGCAGCCGACAATAAAATCATGAACAGATTGACAAGCGAATTGATACTAAATTTGTTAACAGTGTATTCTCAGTTTATATTGCTTTTTTTCTTTGCACGACATTGTTGCGGGTCACATATACATAAACTAAAACTAGTGTGGGTTTAAAGTCCTAATAATTTTTTTGAGAATGGCAAGTTTACCAGTAAACTGATAAATGAAAATAATCTTAAAATATTGCATATCAAACTAATTGCAGAGTCATCATCCATAATGGCAACTTACAAATTTTTCTTCCTCCATGTACAACACCATTAAAACAATTCTTATGTAATCTTTATCCAATTCAAAATTTTAGGGTTAAACTGTTTCAATTTTTAGCACCAGAATTTTCATGTCATGAAAAGCTGCAAAAAATTCTAAATATTGTTTCGGGTTGTAATGCATCAAAAATAAGATAAATCAGACTGAAAAGATCATAAGTTTAAATAGGAAAATAGAATTATTCACTATCAACAGTTGTGTCTACTGATGTGGATAGAATTGTTTCTCTATCTCTTTCCTCTTTATTTGGTGTTTGCACAAGATCTATAACAATACAAGGCTAACACTGTACCCGCTACAAGCTAGGATATTTGTGTTCGAATTTAGGAAAGAGAATATAATTTTCTTTCGAACGAATTAAGATTTGGGTGAATTATAAAAATTACATAATTTGGAATTATAGTCAGAAATTCAGATAAATTATTGATATTATTTTTTTGGGGCTCCCTAAATCCCCGTAAATAACGTACCTAAGAGTTAATCCGCCATTTTCCAGACACCCGGTATATACGGGTAAGTCATTAAGAAAAATTCAAAAACCTAATTGTACGGTTCTTTGAGCACTGTACTGTAAAATTATTTTTAACTATACAGAGTGTTCTGTTTTCAGGCATAACACACAAATAATTTTTTTTAATGAAATACCCTATATATCTTTATAAATAAAGGTACGTATTTTGTTGTGGTATCAACAAAATCAAATTTTAAGATACAGAGTGTTTATAAAAAAATAACTTTACAATTTTCAAATATCGATCCTTCAGTTATTTCAAATTGAACACCTTGTACTATAGCTTTTGTCATCATTCTAATTCACGTCGATGTGTCTTAAAAAAGTAAAAAATTACAGCAACTATCAATTTTAAATATAGAACATATTCAGCAAGAAAGAAAGAAAACAAAAAAAAAATAAGATGCAGTAAAAAAATACAGGATATCTTTCTTTATCTCTCCACAAAATGTAATGCAGATTTTAAAACTAACCCTACTGTAATTTTTTTTGTACACCTCTCCATTGCTAAAAAATTCAAGAAAATTGGAGCAACGTGGTACGTAATTTCAAAAATAAATTGTAGTTGTAAAGCTTAAGCAATTACAATATGTAGCTGTTTTAATTAAAAAACTAATTTGTGTGTTATGCCTTAAAAACACAACACTCTGTATAGTTAACTAATAATAATTTTAAAGCACCATACATACATATATCTAGTATAGTATTTTACCTCCTTAGGGGTGAAATTTTCAAAAACGTAGGGACAGGGAAATGTTCATTTTTAACTATACGTAAACCTACTAATCCAACTTCATGTTTATTGTCTCGAAAATTACGCGACCACAAATTTTCATCCCCTATTTGACTCCTTCAGGGGTGCAATTTTCGCTAAAACAGGTAAATATTTAATGTGTAACCAGAAGCCTAAATACGAAATTTCAAGTTTTTATTTTGAAAATGTAGGACAGAACAAACTTTAAGATTTTCATTCCCTATTTTAGCCAACCTCTTAGGGGAGGAATTCGAAAAATAGAGCCTTAGTCCTTCTCTCCATCATAAAGAGAACTTCTGTTCAAAATTCCAGCTTTCTAGGTCCAAGCGTTTGAGGTCTGACGTTGATGAGTCTGTCAGTGAGTGGGTCAGGACTTTTCTTATTATACCTACATGTGTATTGATAAGATGATAAGTAATAATTTTATTTTCTTTGAAATAAGGAACATTTGGTCTAAAGTGGCTGATATAATCTACAGAGGGTGTCGTTCACATACTCTTAAACAAAATACATTTGTCTAAGGGAAAAGTTAAATTATGTAGTTGCTTTTTCTAAATTTTCTAAAACAGGAGCTATATTTATTTTATTAAAATTTGCGATTTAACGTTACACTTTTTATTAGGCAATTTCTGAGGCACGAAAGCTAAGATCGCTTGTAATAACATATAATCGAAAAAACGTTGTCTAGTCAGCCATGGAATTAAATAAAAAAAATGTATTGGCAAAATCTGTGCATCGCACTAGACAGTATGACCGTTCACTGTTTTCTTGCGAAATGATTTTGGGTAATAAATTTGGATAAACAAATTTTATATTTTGTTTCAAGCATTTTTTTTATTACACTGATAATACAAACGTCAAACTGAGAGGTAACTTAAAGAAAAACAACGGTATCCTCACCACACTAATAAAATTTATTTATTAAACATTATGAGAATAAGTCTGTGTTATTTTTATTGGTTCAGTTAATACTAATTAAGGTTTTAAAATTATACGTTATAGTTTTTTCAAAAAATTATTACATTTGACTTTGGGAATTTTATTTTTTTATGATAATCTTGATAAGTTAAAATAAAGACATGTATGTAATGTTCAAGTTTTAAGTGGGTTTTTTCAAATTTTGTGATGACGTCATCAACATTTTTGCAAGGACATATCAGTTTGGATACAATAACAACGGTACTGTATTCCCAAATTTTCGGGAAAATGGAGTGAGTTATTATAAAATAAATTGTCTTACTCATTAGTTTTTTTCAATTAACTTGTACTTATAAGTAATTCTAAAACTATGAGTGCATTGATTAAGCACAAGTATAAAATGATATTATTTTGCATATTTCAAAGGGGAGTTATTTATTAGGCCATAATTTTGAGATGACGTCAATAATTTTTTGGGAGGGGATAAACGAATAAATTTGGATTCACGATTTACCATGATTACAGTAAACTTAGAACCTTTGCAAGATTTCAGAGAATTGGGTTTTGCAGTTTCAAAATTAAATTGCAAAATGTTAATCTTTTAAAACTCCCACGTATTCATACTTTACGTTAAGATTTCAGACATAACTTTATTATGTATACTTTAGGGGTGAGGGAAGCTCTGTCTAAACCTTAGGCCATTTTTTTCCTTTAAAAGGATCATTTTGATATTTAATGAGTCTTTCCTACAATTTTTGCAGATTTTCTTCTTGTTTATTAGGAATTTATTATAATTTCTTTTGAATTAATAAGAGTGAAAGGATTTAATTATAAAGTGTTGACGTTCGTTGCATAATGTACTTGACTTGGTGTCAAGTGGCCACAGCATCGGAAATTTTCTTCATGACTTTTTGATATCAAAAGGGCAACATATATTTACAACCCGAAGACTAAATACCACGGAATAAAAAATGTTAAAACATCTTACAGGATGTTGAGATATTGTTCTATACTACAGCAAAATATTTTCTAAACAATTGAAACAAGTTTTTGTTACTATTTGACAAAAAAAAAACGTTAAAACTAAGATAATCTATGTCTGCGATAGCCTACAATCGCTTTCAGAAATACAATCTCCTCCTTCTTCTTTCCTGATAAAACCGTATTTGCAAGCACACGCTTTTGGACACCACAACAACGAGCACGCTACACGATCGTCGATATATGGACAGGTGGCTTCACAAGCCACGCAGTCCTGTATTTCTTCGTTTTCTTTACAAGGTGCTGTATAGTTTCTACTTATTTCACCTACGTAAAAAATATGAAACAGTAATCTCAAAGTTTTACACTTTACCTGATTCCACGCAACTTTTAATAGGTACACACTTTGCTCCCTCTTTTACTCTAATATATCCTTCTTTACACATACATCCTCCGAAACAAGTGCTATATGTACAGGGAGGTTGTTTGGGTTGCTCACAAGTTGGTAGACAGTATTCTATGCAGTCTGATGGAACTTCGTTCAAGGGACAGGATGTTGGTTTAGTGCCAATTCTATTCAAGTTAGCAGAACTGGAATCTGCTAAAAGCAAATGGGGAATCAATAATAAAACACTTATTTGGAAGAACATGGCTGCAGACGAACATAAAATAATGAACGAACTGACAAGTGAAATGATACTAAATTTTTTAACCGTGCCTTTTGTTTATATTCCGTTCTTAGTATTATTTTCGTTGCACTAATGACGTTGTCGCGGGTCAATGTCATAAACTTATGTAAATTTAAACTCCTAATTACTTTGTTGCCAGTGCCAAGTTTATCAATAAATTGATAAATCAAAATAATCTCTTAAAATATTGTTTACCAAACCATTTGCATAGTGATAATCCATAAAACACATGTTTTCTCCATGTTTTATTAACACTAAAGTATGAAAAAGTTGATCCCCATTTCCGTCTGTATGTCGTTTGTTGGAAATTATAACAAATAAATAATCTCCGAAAGCACTGGAGTGGTTGTAATGAAATTTAATTTGTATTTTAGCAACATCGTGTAGATGGTAAAATTCTAACCAAAACGTGTCTGATCATCCCTATCAACAATTCGATGACGTCGTCTCCAAATTTCGTAAAGGAAATAACATTTAAATTTTATAAAATGATACTTCTTTATATACTGGTGATGTGGTTCTGTGTTAATTTTATTATAAAATTTTACAGCTTAACGTAGAAACTGCAAAACCAATTTAAGGTTGACATTTTCTCAAATTTTGATAGAAAAGAATTTTATGGTTTCCAAGATAAACGAGAAATAAATATGGAGATATATTTTAAAAAATGTGTCTTTACAAAAAAAATAACAGCGCGTTATTAAACAAAGATGAAATAGCATGCACAATTCAACAAATTTTGAATAAAATAAATTTGATGATGACTTTCAATTTGGAGAGAGAAACGAGAACTGTATCAAACTATGTGTAAATTGAAAATGCTTTAAAATTTCATATCAATCGATGCATTAGTTTCTCAGATTATTTGTTGAAAAGTTTACTGGCAGACACAGAGAGACGCAAATGGGGGACCTACGTTTTCGTGATGTAGCCGACAACTGAAAAAAGTTGGAAATATTGGTGGTTGTTGATTGAGGGTCTCAAACGAAGTTCTTTCAATACCATTGGAGATCTAAGAAACGGCTTAAATTGTAATAAACTATTTAACTACAGACGTTAGATGCGTATGCACAAGAGAAATAGCAACAGAATATTGCTATTTGCTTAACATTTTTAGGCTATCCTAGCCGCATAAGATGACTTTTTGTTGGACTAAATTTGTAAGTATAAATGAAGAAATAATTAGTGGTGCATATTTGAGCATTTCCTCCAGGTTCCTGAAGGATTTCTAAAACAAAATAATTGCTGGAGAGAATAAAATTCCTTACAATATTTTGATATTCTGTTCTAGTAGGTAACTAAAAATCATAATATCTTTTGAAAATATTTTATTAATAATTGAAACATTTTTTTAAAATATCATTTGAAAAAAAAACACTTCAAAACAATCTATGTCCGCGATCGCCTGCATTCGCTTTCAGAAATGCAGTCTCCTCCTTCTTCTCTCCTGATAAAGCCTGGTTTACAAATACATCCTTTTGGACACCACAACAATAGGCATTGTACAGGATTGTCAATCAGTGCACATGTACCTTCACAAGCCAGGCATTCCGTTATTTCTTCGTTTTCTTTACAAGGCGCTGTATAGATTCAAATAATTTCAGCTGGATCCACACAGCTTTCAATAGCTACACACTTTCCTCCCTCTTTTAGTCTAATATATCCTTCTTTACATAGACATCCTCCCTGACAAGTGTTATATATACAGGGGGGTTGTTTGGGTTTCTCACAAGTTGGTAGACAGTATTCTACGCAGTCTGATGAAATTTCGTTTAAGGGAGAGGATGTTGGTTTAGTACCAATTCTGCCCAAGTTAGAAGATCTGGAATCTGTTAAAATGGAATGAGAAATCAACAACAAAAAACTTATTCGGCCGAGCATGGCTGCAGCCGAAAATAAAATCATGAACAGATTGACAAGCGAATTGATACTAAATTTGTTAACAGTGTATTCTCAGTTTATATTGCGTTTTTTCTTTGCACGACATTGTTGCGGGTCACATATACACAGGGTTGGGCAAAATACACTTTCTACTGTAATTGAAATACAAAATACAAAATACTTCAATTTAATGTATTTGAAATACAAATTACAAAATACATTTATGTCTTGTAGTTGAAATACAAAATACAAAATAGTATTTCAAATACTTTTAAAAATACAAAATATATTTTGTTCAGGACAGTGGCAAAAATAAAATTTTGATAGAAGTTCGTTCCTAAAAATTTTAAAGTTAACTGTCAGAATTCTTTCACTAACTTTATAAGTTGGCCCTGTTACATTCCATGTCCATCTAGTGTCAATTTGTCGAAAGTAAAACACGTCGTTAAAAATATTGTGACATTTCTTCTAGTTAATTTTATTCCTAGTTAGAACCAAACACTGCTGCCAACATAAATTGCGAAGTCCTCAACCGTCACTTAATTTCATATATCTAATAGTACTATATTGCTAACTGGCCTCAAAAGATTCCGAAAACATAACGGTAGAGCAATATATCGGACCTCTCTGTCTTTCTGTGGTACTAAACAGTACTGTGCATGCACTCGTACTTGGTTGATTTGTAGTGGATAGCGTGACTGGATGCGTTTTGACATTTCGTACTTTCGCTTCTATTTTGTGTACATGCGCACAGACCCTCGGTACTCTTAGAGACAGAAAACAACATCTTCTGTCTCTCTCTGTCCGTGAACACCGTTTCTATGTTATTTCTGAAGAGCTAGCAATATAGTACTATTAGATATATGCTTAATTTAAACTATGGCGCTTCTCTATGTTCTCTGTTACAACCATAGAATATCCTGTTACTTCTCGAAGTATACGAACATACACGAATTAACACGATCGCAAAACTGTTGTAATGAGCGCGCCGTAGTTTGATAAAATGTATTTCAAGTAATTGAAAATACAAAAATACGAGTTAAAATGTATTTGAAATACAAAATACAAAATACATTTGTGTCATGTATTTGAAATACAAATTACAAAATACAATTGTATTTCAAATACTGTATTTCAATTACAAGTAGTTCAAATAGTGCCCAACCCTGCATATACATAAACTAAAACTAGTGTGGGTTTAAAGTCCTAATAATTTTTTTGAGAATGGCAAGTTTACCAGTAAACTGATAAATGAAAATAATCTTAAAATATTGCATATCAAACTAATTGCAGAGTCATCATCCATAATGGCAACTTACAAATTCATCTTCCTCCATGTACAACACCATTAAAACAATTCTTATGTAATCTTTATCCAATTCAAAATTTTAGGGTTAAACTGTTTCAGTTTTTAGCACCAGAATTTTCATGTCATGAAAAAAAAAAATTCTAAAAATTGTTTCGGGTTGTAATGCAACAAAAATAAGATAAATCAGACTGAAAAGATCATAAGTTTAAATAGGAAAATAGAATTATTCACTATCAACAGTTGTGTCTACTGATGTGGATAGAAATGTTTCTCTAACTCTTTCCTCTTTATTTGGTGTTTGCACAAGATCTATAACAATACAAGGCTAACACTGTACTCGCTACAAGCTAGGGTATTTGTGTTCTAATTTAGGAAAGAGAATATAATTTTCTTTCGAACGAATTAAGATTTGGGTGAATTATAAAAATTACAGAATTTGGAATTATAGTCAGAAATTCAGATAAATTATTGATATTATTTATTTGGGGCTCCCTAAATCCCCGTAAATAACGTACCTAAGAGTTAATCCGCCATTTTCCAGACACCCGGTATATACGGGTAAGTCATTAAGAAAAATTCAAAAACCTAATTGTACGGTTCTTTGAGCACTGTACTGTAAAATTATTTTTAACTATACAGAGTGTTCTGTTTTCAGGCATAACACACAAATAATTTTTTTTAATGAAATACCCTATATATCTTTATAAATAAAGGTACGTATTTTGTTGTGGTATCAACAAAATCAAATTTTAAGATACAGAGCGTTTATAAAAAATTAACTTTACAATTTTCAAATGTCGATCCTTCAGTTATTTCAAATTGAACACCTTGTACTATAGCTTTTGTCATCATTCTCATTCACGTCGACGTGTCTTAAAAAAGTAAAAAATTACAGTAACTATCAATTTTAAATATAGAACATATTCAGCAAGAAAGAAAGAAAATAAAAAATAGAATAAGATGCAGTAAAAAAATACAGGATATCTTTCTTTATCTCTCCACAAAATATAATGCAGATTTTAAAACTAACCCTACTGTAATTTTTTTTGCACACCTTTCCATTGCTAAAAAATTCAAGAAAATTGCAGCAACGTGGTACGTAATTTCAAAAATAAATTGTATTTGTAAAGCTTAAGCAATTACAATATGTAGCTGTTTTAATTAAAAAACTAATTTGTGTGTTATGCCTTAAAAACACAACACTCTGTATAGTTAACTAATAATAATTTTAAAGTACCATACATACATATATCTAGTATAGTATTTTACCTCCTTAGGGGTGAAGTTTTCAAAAACGTAGGGACAGGGAAATGTTCATTTTTAACTGTACGTAAACCTACTAATCCAACTTCATGTTTATTGTCTCGAAAATTACGCGACCACAAATTTTCATCCCCTATTTGACTCCTTCAGTGGTGCAATTTTCGCTAAAACAGGTAAATATTTAATGTGTAACCAGAAGCCTAAATACGAAATTTCAAGTTTTTATTTTGAAAATGTAGGACAGAACAAACTTTAAGATTTTCATTCCCTATTTTAGCCAACCTCTTAGGGGAGGAATTCGAAAAATCCAGCCTTAGTCCTTCTCTCCATCATAAAGAGAAGTTCTGTACAAAATTCCAGCTTTCTAGGTCCAAGGGTTTGGGGTCTGACGTTGATGAGTCTGTCAGTGAGTGGGTCAGGACTTTGCTTATTATACATGTGTATTGATAAGATGATAAGTAATAATTTTATTTTCTTTGAAATAACGAACATTTGGTCTAGAGTGGCTGATATAATCTACAGAGGGTGTCGTTCACATACTCTTAAGCAAAATACATTTGTCTAAGGGAAAAGTTAAATTATGTAGTTGATTTTTCTAAATTTTCTAAAACTGGAGCTATATTTATTTTATTAAAATCTGCGATTTAACGTTACACTTTTTATTAGGCAATTTCTGAGGCACGAAAGCTAAGATCGCTTGTAATAACATATAAGCGAAAAAAAGTTGTCTAGTCAGCCATGGAATTAAATAAAAAAAAATGTATTGGCAAAATCTGTGCATCGCACTAGACAGTATGACCGTTCACTGTTTTCTTGCTAAATGATTTTGGATAATAAATTTGGATAAACAAATTTTATGTTCTGTTTCAAGCATTTTTTTTATTACACTGATAATACAAACGTCAAACTGAGAGGTAACTTAAAGAAAAACAACGGTATCCTCACCACACTTATAAAATATCCATGGTTGATTAGACGACTCTTTTTAATCTTATGGTATCTATAAAACAATCACTGTTTGCTTGCACACTTATTCTCATTACTAAAGCTAAAAATGAGGGAAGTGTGAGCATAATATGCATGGATATTCGGTCAAAAATGCAGCAGCACATGAAAATCTGCGCACGAATATAAAATTATTATTTTATTTCTTTATCAGGTTGGTAATCAATAGAACAGATATTACAAATTTACGATTATTAAGTATTTACACAGATGTTTTTAAATAATGACTTACAAATTAAATTCCAATAAAATTTATTTATTAAAAATTATGAGCATAAGTCTGTGTTATTTTTATTGGTTCAGTTAATACTAATTAAGGTTTTAAAATTATACGTTATAGTTTTTTCAAAAAATTATTACATTTGACTTTGGGAATTTTATTTTTTTATGATAATCTTGATAAGTTAAAATAAAGACATGTATGTAATGTTCAAATTTTAAGTGGGTTTTTTCAAATTTTGTGATGACGTCATCAACATTTTTGCAAGGACATATCAGTTTGGATACAATAACAACGGTACTGTATTCCCAAATTTTCGGGAAAATGGAGTGAGTTATTATAAAATAAATTGTCTTACTCATTAGTTTTTTTCAATTAACTTGTACTTATAAGTAATTCTAAAACTATGAGTGCATTGATTAAGCACAAGTATAAAATGATATTATTTTGCATATTTCAAAGGGGAGTTATTTATTAGGCCATAATTTTGAGATGACGTCAATAATTTTTTGGGAGGGGATAAACGAATAAATTTGGATTCACGATTTACCATGATTACAGTAAACTTAGAACCTTTGCAAGATTTCAGAGAATTGGGTTTTGCAGTTTCAAAATTAAATTGCAAAATGTTAATCTTTTAAAACTCCCACGTATTCATACTTTACGTTAAGATTTCAGACATAACTTTATTATGTATACGCTAGGGGTGAGGGAAGCTCTGTCTAAACCTTAGGCCATTTTTTTTCCTTTAAAAGGATCATTTTGATATTTAAGTCTTTCCTCTCTCTTTCCTACAATTTTTGCAGATTTTCTTCTTGTTTATTAGGAATTTATTTTAATTTCTTTTGAATTAATAAGAGTGAACGATACAAAAGGATTTAATTATAAAGTGTTGACGTTCGTTGCATAATGTACTAGACTTGGTGTCAAGTGGCCACAGCATCGGAAATTTTCTTCATGACCTTTTAATATCAAAAGGGCAACATATATTTACAACCCGAAGACTAAATACCACGGAATAAAAGATGTTAAAACATCTTACAGGATGTTGATATATTGTTCTATACTACAGGAAAATATTTTCTTAGCAATTGAAACAAGTTTTTGTTACTATTTGACAAAAAAAAAACGTTAAAACTAAGATAATCTATGTGTGCAATCGCCTGCATTCGCTTTCAGAAATGCAATCTCCTCCTTCTCTTTTCCTAATAAAACCGTGTTTGCAAGCACACCCTTTTGGACACCACAACAACGAGCACAATACAGGATCGTCGATATATGGACAGGTGGTTTCACAAGCCACGCAGTCCTGTATTTCTTCGTTTTCTTTACAAGGTGCTGTATAGTTTCTACTTATTTCACCTACGTAAAAAATATGAAAGAGTAATCTCAAAGTTTTACACTTTACCTGGTTCCACGCAACTTTTAATAGGTACACACTTTGCTCCCTCTTTTACTCTAATATATCCTTCTTTACACATACATCCTGCGAGACAAGTGCTATATGTACAGGGAGGTTGTTTGGGTTGCTCACAAGTTGGTAGACAGTATTCTATGCAATCTGATGGAACTTCGTTCAAGGGACAGGATGTTGGTTTAGTGCCAATTCTACCCAAGTTAGCAGAACTAGAATCTGCTAAAAGCAAATGGGGAATCAATAATAAAACACTTATTTTGAAGAACATGGCTGCAGACGAACATAAAACAATGAACCAACTGACAAGTGAAATGATACTAAATGTTTTAACCGTGCGTTTTATTTATATTCCGTTCTTAGTATTATTTTCCTTGCACTAATGACGTTGTCGCGGGTCAATGTCATAAACTTATGTAAATTTAAACTCCTAATTACTTTGTTACCAGTGGCAAGTTATATAAATTTCATATCAATTGATGCCATTGGCGCCGGCAGGGAGGTGCAAGGGGGTGCACTTGCACCCCCCTGGCTTAGTATAAAATACACACTTTAATTTAAATCCAAACTGCAATTTCTAGGAAGTGGATAATAGTTTTTGAAATAGCTTCCGCATTCAGTTCTTGCAGCGGTACATATCCCAAAAATTCTTCGCAAATTATTATTGGATTTTTATTGTCTTGATCACAACGCAAATACCGAAATACAATCGATAATTGTTCTGTGCCACTAATATTAGCAGTCTCATCAGCCAACACCTAAAAAACGGATACCTGATTCACTTCCTCAATTATTTCCCCTTGCCCTTCAGAACATCAGAACAAATTTCAATCAATTCATTTTGAATTTGATGAGATATATACAAAGAGTTTCCTGCTCCTGACTCTAAATGATTTTTAAAATTTCATCCCCAGATTCAATTCGAAAATGGAGCAAATATACTATATCCTATAATGTATGGGTGCACCCCCCTGCAAATAATCCTGCCGGCGCCCATGATTGATGCATTAGTTTCTCAGATTATTTGTTGAAAAGTTTACTGGCAGACAGAGAGAGACGCAAATAGGAACTTTGTTTTCGTGATGTAGGCGACAACTGAAAAAAATTGGAAATACTGGAAATATTGACAAATAATTGATTAATAGAGTTCTCGGTATTATTTTCTTTGCACGACATTGTTTCGGGTCACATGTACATAAACATTAACTAGCGTGAGTTTAAAGTTCTAATTATTTTGTTGAGAATAACAAATTTCCCAGTAAATTGATAAATGAAAATAATCTTAAAATATTGCATATCAACTATTTGCAGAGTCATCAACCATCATCTCTCACGACAACGTACACATTCTTCTTCCTCCATGTACAACACCATTGAAACAATTCTTATGCAGGATTGCAGGGTTTTATCCAATTTAAAATTTTAGGGTTAAACTGTTTTAATTTTCAGCACCGTCATGTCATAAAAGCTGGCAAAACTTTTAAAAATTTTTCGGGTTGTAATGCAACAAAAATAAGATAAATCAGACTGAAAAGCTCACAAATTTGAATAAAATTTATTAAACCTAAAAAAGGAGAATAGAATTATTCACTATCAACAGTTTTCCCTCTTCATTTGGTGTTTGTAAAAGATCTAAACAATACAAGGCTAACACTGTACCCGCTACAAGCTAGGATAATTATAAAAATCACATAATTTGGAATTATGGTCAGGAATTCAGGTAAAGGGTCCCACAGTGCATAGGTATAAAAATAAATAAAAAATTATGTTTCAAGTGTGGGTGTTACGGATGAATATGAAACCCAAAATTATACCTTTTTTAAATAAAGAAATTAAATGTAATATAATAAAAAAATGGTCTAAAGAGTTTAGACAGTACTTCCCTCGCTGTCGGAAAAGTGACGACTGCATGACTATTATGTTTTTTTTTCGCAGTTGATTTCATTATTTTTTGAGTCACCCGGTATATGCAAATTCAAACAATATGAATGGAATGATAAATTACAAGTACAGACTCATCATATTTTATAGATAGGATTTATTCGGCAAACTTTTAAGCTGACGTCATCAGTTTTTTGTAGAAGATAACCAAATATATTTTGACTAAAAATTTATTATGCTCTTTATAACCTTAAAACATTTGCAAGATTTCAAAACATTCGGTTCTGGAGTTCCTGATTAAATCAATAAAATATATTTACCCATTCATTAATTTTTTTGGGTCACCTTGTATATGCAAATCCAAAAACTATGAATGGAATGATAAATCACAAGAACAGACTCATCATATTTTGTACCTTTTAAATAGGATTTATTTAGCAAAATTTTGTGGTGACGTCATAAATTTTTTAGGGGGGCTGAGCAAATACATTTTGATCAAAAACTTACCATGCTTATGATAACTTTAAAACACCTTCAAGATTTCAAAGCATTCGGTTTTGTAGTTCCTGAGTAAATCAATCAAATAAATTTACGCACTCATTAATTTTTTTGAGTCACGCTGTATATGCAAATCCAAAAAATATGAATGGCGTGATAAATTACAAGCACAGACTCATCATATTTTGTACAGTTTAGATATGATTTATTCGGCAAACTTTTGAGCTGACGTCATCAAGTTTTTGGAGGGGATAAGCAAATATATTTTGACTAAACATTTATTATGCTCTTTATAAGCTTAAAACATCTGCAAGATTTCAGAGCATTCGGTTTCGTAGTTCCTGATTAAATCAATAGAATATATTTACGCGTTCATTAATTTTTTTGAGTCACCCTGTATATGCAAATCCAAAAAATATGAATGGAGTGATAAATCACAAGTACACACTCATCCTGTTTTTATAGTTTAGATAAGATTTATTCGGCAAACTTTCGAGCTGACGTCATCAATTTTTTGGAGGGGATAAGCAAATATTTTTTGACTAAAGATTTATGATGCTCCTTATAGCCTTAAAACATCTGCAACATTTCAAGGCATTCGCTTTTGCAGATTCAAAATTAAATTTCAAAATGTTGTTTTATAATTTTGATTTTTTTTCCAAAAATCTGGACGTTTCGGGTGAAAACTCAATTCGGAGTTGTAAACTACATGTGTAGGACTATGTTATTTTATACAATTTAAAACCCATTTACTATGTACAATTTTGAAGTGACGTCATCGCATTAGTGGTGGGGATGATTAGACAAATTTTGGTTAGCGTTTTATCATCTACATGATATTCCTAATATAAGTACAAAATTTCACAACAATCGGTCCAGTAGGTACTCTCGGAGATTATCTGTCTAATAAAAATCCAGGACGGCAGACAGACGGACAGACGGACAGACAGACGGAAATGGCAGACCCATTTCTTCGGCTTCTAGAGGTCATGAAAGATCGAGAAAACGTAAAAGTAGAGAGTCGGCCGATGGACTTGATTACAATACTTCCTTTGCTGACGCTCGGGAAGTAAAAAGTGAAAAATTGAAATGAAAACATTACAAAATTGTTTGTGAGTTGTTGAATTTAAAAAAAAAACTCAATGGATAAATTCACTTTTTAATTTTCTTTTAAATATATTACAACAAAATAGCAATGACATCAAACTGTGACAGTCAGGACAAAAACTTACACACTATACACTGTATTGTTTAGTCACTGTACATGATAAATTCATACAGCGCATTTTTCGACAGACACACATCCTCCACCTTGTTTCTCTCTAATAAATCCATCTTTACAGACACATCCGTGGGCACAAAATAATTTCGTACACCCACTTATTTCAGTTCTTGCACAAGTTGCTTGGCAATTGCTTGCACATTTTGATAACACTTCATTGTCGGCACACTCTGGAGTCGTTATGTTTCTGCTAACATCACCTGGAAAGAAAAATATTTGCCCCTTATGCTACTTAGTTTTTGATGTTAGCAACTACCAGTAATAAGATTGTTAAAAAATCAAAATAACACCAAGTTGAAATGATAAAACTTACTTGGAGTGACACAACTGCTCACTGGCACACATTCACCACGTTCTTTTTTCCTGATGTATCCATCCGTACATACGCAACCTCCAAGACATAGTTTAAAGGTGCAAGGTGGTGCTTCTGGTTGTTCACAGGTCGGCAAACATGGTTCAACACAAGTAGACGGGTGTTCGTTCAGGCCACAAATTAAGGGTTTCGTACCACTTATTAAACCTGAAGATGGTTTACCATTTGAAGTTACACACAATAACGCTAAAGTAAAAACGATTTCTCGAAACATAGCAAATAAGTAGTAAAAATATATTCTTTGAATCAGCTACAATTGCAGAGATTGTATTTATGTCACGGAGTTATCAGTTGGACGAATTAGATGTGTGTTAATAATATTATCATTGTGGATAAAATGGAGATCAATGTCATTTATTATAATAAACATTTTAAAGAAATAGTTTAATTCACAAGTAATGAGAAAACGCTATGTGTAGTTATTTCCGAATTTATTATCTGGGGCATTTCTAAAAATAAACCGTCTCTCTCGGTTACATTCATTTCGATTGTAGTTATTTATGCCGGGGACATATTTTTTCTTTGTTTGTCTGCTACAGCATTTTAGGTCTAGACTAAGAGTCTCCTCTGTAGAAAATATAAAAGGGTTGATACATCGGTCTTCTTAAAGAAAACATGGAAACTGTGATTGCTAAATTGTCAAAGTTGTTCTTTTAATGCCAGCTTTAGGGCTACAAACTTGGCTTACAACAAAAGCTATAAAAACTTTTTATGGCTTTATTTGAATTTAAAATGGAATGCTGGCCAAAGTATTCCTTTGCGACGATGAAATTATCGAATTGAAATTTTGTTGCTGCAGTTACGAGCGTCGCGCTGCTTAAAATTCTGTAATGAAATATTCATTTACCTGAAACCGTTCAGGTACATGTGCTAGAATAAACAAAGATCTTTCAGTTTTTTGAAATTATTTTATTATTTGTAATCGGCACAGACTTTAAATACCAAACAGCAGGGTAGGAACACTTAATTAGGTATTTCCTATAGCTTTTGCATTTTACATGATTCTGACATATAATTTTTTTTAATATTCATGACTTTATATGCTGAAGAAATAAAGAGTACAGTGCTTGTTACATTAAAGCAAATCTGTAACTTGTTTGCCGATTTTTTTGAGGAGGTTTATGTACATTTCCAAACACCAAGTGATAATAATACCCGTAATTCGACAACGAATTATTCTGAAATTCTCCAAGTCATTAACAATCTTGAAATAAATTTTGATGCTGTTTTCCAAAAACTTGTATCTTTAAAAAATAATTTCAATCCGGGACCTGATGGAATACCAGCTTACTTTTTGAAAATGTGTAGCCCATCTCTTACTCTACCTATAACAATCCTTTTTAAGCAATCATTAAGGTCGGGTTTGTGCCCAGTCCGTTGGAAGTCATCGTTTATCATACCAATTCACAAATCGGGATCAAAAACAGATGTTAAGAATTATCGTCCAGTTTGTATTATTTCATCATTATGTAAGGTTCTTGAATCCATTATAGTTGATAAACTTCTCGATACTTATTATAATATCCTTTCTACTAAACAACATGGTTTTATGCCTAAGCGCAGTACACTGACAAATCTCTCAATTTATAGTAATTATATCTCAAACTCATTAGAAAGAGGTTACCAGGTGGACTCCATTTATACGGATTTTAGTAAGGCCTTCGATCGCGTTGATACAAATCTTTTGTTAATCAAACTTAAGCATTATGGTATTGTAGGTAATTTACTTTCATGGCTTTCCTCTTACTTAAATGGCAGAACGCAGACCGTTCGTATCAGTGGACTGTTCTCTCATGAAATAAAAGCAACATCCGGTGTTCCTCAAGGTAGCCACTTGGGCCCTATTCTTTTTCTTCTTTTTGTTAATGACATAACTCACATTTTTAAGTATTGCCAATTCTTACTCTTTGCCGACGATCTGAAACTCTACATGGAAGTTCGCTCGGAGCTAGATGTTCTTAAAATTCAATCTGACTTAGATTCGTTTTCAAATTGGTGTGATATGAACAAGTTACTGATTAATTATGATTAATTTAAAATTATTACGTTCCATAAATGCAAGAATCCGATAAGCGCCCGATACTGTTTATGTGATAACGAGATATTGAGAGTTGAAACGGTAAAGGATCTTGGTGTAGTGTTTGACAAGTCTTATACGTTCGAGTACCACATAGAAAGAATTCTCAATAAAGCTATGAGAATGTGTGGATTTGTTAAACGTCAATGCAAAGATTTTAAAAATATACCGGTCATAATTAAGTTGTACTGTGCATTTGTGAGATCGTCACTCGAATATTGCAGTCTTGTGTGGGATCCTTATTATTCGTGTTCAAATATACGGCTAGAGAGAGTGCAAAGTAAGTTTGTCAATTTTTTACTTTTTAAACTCAACATAAACAAAAATTTGTACACCTATGAAGAACGGCTCGAGTTAGTGGGTCTAAAATCATTGGAGTCACGACGGAAAAATGCCATCGTTGTCTTCGGCCACAAAATATTTAATAATTCAATTCAGTCTCCTGAAATATTAAGTTCGTTTCGAATAAGGGTACCTAATCATCTTATCCGGGATCCTATACTATTCGAAATCGACTCACACAGGACTAACTACGGAATTCACAGTCCTTTTACTAGAGTGGCACGGGCTTTAAATTCTTTACCATCTACCATCGACATCTTTAATATTTCAGTAAATAGGTTTAAACGGGAGCTTTTGTATTAAGGTAGGTAGGTTAAGTAATAAGAATGTGTATTTTTAGTTAAATATTTTTTCTAGATATTTGTACGTTATGTATGTAGATAGTTATTTTCAGTTGGACGTTTGTTAGATGTTGTGTTTTTCAAATTTCTAAGATTGCCTGTATGGTGTAAACTGTTTTTGGCAATAAACTAAACTAAACTAAAGTAAACTAAACTAAATGCAACATAAATATTTATGGAAGCCTGGGACAGTGCATTACAGGACAGTCAGTTTTGCGTATACACTCCTTTGTATCATCTCTTCTTACAAAACCTGCATTGTTGTCACAGTAGCATTTACATTCTTTGATTTCTGCACACTTAACAGTTTGGAAGCAACATGTCTGACAATCATATCCACTTGCTTTTCCTACTTCGTTTTTTTTACAAGTTAGATGCGGGCATGCATTAACTAAAAAATATAACTTTATATTAGAATTAATACTTAACAGTTGCTAAAATTGCATATTTCTGTGGAGTATATATTATTGTATGAAAATAGACTACAACACGAAATAAATTTATTTTATATAGAGTTATATAATATTTTCATAATTTCCTCACCTGAGAGAAGTGAATTTACTAAAATGTAAGCAGTAGCCAGGGCAACTATGGTAACCTTCATCCTCGATAATTCGCTTGGTGCTGTGTGGTGTTATGGGTGCTGCTTGGTTACTGAATTTTGTTGGTGGCTGGTTAAACTAACAATGTCACATTTTCAATATGTAATGCAAATTTATTCTTATCAGTAAATTGTATGTACTACATAGTTGACGTAAGAATAAACATTTTATGTCAGCTGTACCGCAGTCAGAAATACATAAAATCATAATGCAGAGGAAAATGGCAAACAAAAAATATTTTGAAAAATCAAATCTACGTTTAACAAAACCGCTATAAAATTAAACTTTGTTTTATAGTTTTCAAAAAATTCCCGGTGTCAACAATTTCGGACGTGTGGACAATGTCGACAATGTAGGCAATGCAAAACATATTTTAAAAATAGTTTTGTTTGTGAAGGATAAGTTATAATCTATTAAAATACAGGGTCGCTAGAAATTAGGTATAGTGTACAAGAAGGGTGCTCTAATAATTCGACAAAAAATTATTTTTTTTTTATTCATTTAATTTCAACATGCAAGGCCAACTTGATTTTTTTAAAAGGCGCTATCATATATACAGGGTGTTTGCGAAATGCATAAGAAATGAAAAAAGCTCCTGTTGTATTATCAAAAGTTGCAAAGTAAATTTACCCTTTATCCAAGCTTTATTCGCGCCACTGTAAGAGGTGCTATCAGATTCAATTAATTCACGTTTTGTAAAAACATAGCAACCAAAAACTGACAACGAAAGGTGACGTTTAAAAATCTCATGGTAAAAAAGTCAAAAGTATTTTTTCAGAAACAATCAATTTGAAACAATTTTAACTAGATGTTTAAACATTTTGGAGTAAAGAATCACCTATTTTAAATGGTAGTAATTAGTCATTTTTACTTAATTGTCCTAGGTCGCGGTTCTGGACAGTGGTCCGCCGATTTTGGTTCCATTGGAATTCCGACGTGATAGGTAATCGTCTGCGTATTCTTTTTCAGGACGTTGTCATTTTCTCTAGTTATGGACAGACTTATTAATGAATGAGCATAGTTAACAAAGAGAAACTACTAATAAGAATAAGACTTTTCAATGACGATAACCAACTAAACTTTACTAATCAAAATAAAAATAAAGAATAAAATTAACATAACTTTAAACAAACTACTACGATAAGTTTTCGAAATGACGGCCTCTATTTTGCATACATGCTTCTGTTCGTCGAATTAACGACTGCTGCGTTCTCCTAACCATATCTGGATTATTTCTAATCTGGGCAGCAACATTTTGAATGCGATTTGTCAATTCTTGCACCGTATTCACTGGAGTTTGATAAACTACCTGGTTCATGCAACCTCACAAAAAAAATCACAGGGATTGATATCGGGAGAACGAGGTGGCCACAACACAGATCCATTACTCACAATCCATTTGTTTGGAAAGTTTCGGTCAAACCATTCCCGCACGTTTACGGCATAATGTGCAGGATCCCATAATGTGCCCCATCATGTCCTTACGAACATCTAAGGGTACATTTTCCAAAAGTGGTCCTAAATCGTTGTTTAAAAACTCTAAATTCGCAACCGCCGTCAAGCGAGGGGGCAGAACGTATGGACCTATCAAATTGTTGTCAACCATGACTGCCCAGACATTTACTGAAAATCTGTCTTGAAAATGGGTTTCCCGTATGGCATGGGGATTTTCAGCAGACCAAATATGAGTATTACGAGAATTAAAAACTCCTTCCCTTGTGAAAGTAGCCGCGTCGGTGGTCAAAAGCTTCTGCACAAAGTCTGGTTGCTCCCTATTTTTTTTTGCAGCAACCACTCGCAGAACCGCAGTTGACTAGGCAGGTCTTCTGGTTTAAGGGATTGCACGCGCTGCACGTGGTATGGGTGAAGCCCCTGTTCTTTTAGGGTTCGCCACACAACAAACGGAGAAACTCCTAATCTGTATGATAATCTGCGAATGCTTATGCTTGGGTTTTCTTCCACAATTTCTAGTAGGTACTTATTTCTGGTTCCACGTCTATAACATGTTCGGTTCTGTCACGACCACGATCCGTCGTACTTGGCTGAAATTTTCCGTTTTCCCGGAAACGTTGAACAACGGCACTAAATATTGTGTGATGAGGCAATCTTCGGCCTCAAAATTTCTCCTGGTAGAGACACTTATCGGTCATTTCGGCATTAGAAGGGATCTCATTGCTATCTCAGAGACATGGCTAACTAAAGATATTTTTGATGCCGAAATTTTTCCCAACAATTATGCTGTTTATCGCAAAGATAGAAATATTGAAGATGGTGGAGTAAGTAAGGGAGGTGGAGTTCTTTTAGCTATTGACATTCGTTATACAAATAGATCTTTCCTTTATTAGTTTATTACTAACGAAGTGCCAACTATAGATATCGTAGGAATTAAAGTTACTTGCTTTAGCAACAAGACATTATACATCTTCGTTGTTTACATTCCACCATCGACATCTTCCAATTTTGAAACATTTCTTGATTTACTTCAGCTTTACTGTAATAATAACGCAGATAAAGTCTTATTACTCGGCGATTTTAATACCCCCAATTATTGTCTGAAATTAATGAACAGTAATGTTCAAGCTTTAATCAACTTCAGTTATCTAAATGATATCAAACAACACAATAAAATAGTCAATTCGTATGGGCATATTTTAGATTTAGTTTTCTCTAATATACAGTGTCATGTTAATAGATCTGACTGGTCGTTAGTCAATGAAGATTTACATCATCCCACATTAAATATCAAATGTATAGAAATTATTCGCCGCATTAAAAATTTTCCTATTGACAATTCAACAGATCAATATAATTTTAAGAAATCCAACTTTCCACTTATGTATCATATGTTATCTAATGCTGATTGGACCTCTGTATATTTAGCAACAGATGTCGAAAACGCCTGCAATGCTTTCTATAGTATACTTGATGAAATTATTGCAACAACAACTCCAAAGTTTCGCAGATATTCGTCCCAAAAAGCCGCTTGTCCCGTTTGGTACAGTAGTGAAGTTAGACATTGCCTGACATTAAAGTTTATTGCTCATAAAAATTACAAACACTGTCCTTCCGAGCATCATTACGAAATATTTAAACAATACCGTACAATGTGCAAGAATCTTGTTGTGCAATCTTACAAGAATTATATATTAGAGGTAGAAAATTCTGTCAGTACTAATCCTAAAAAATTTTGGTCTTTCCTGCAGAACAAAAAAAAAACAAGACTAGAATACCAAGTGATCTAAGCTACAAGAATGTAAAAGTAGCAACTCCTATCACAATAGTAGATGCTTTTTGTGATTACTTCTGTAGTACATTTATTAATTCAAATATTAGTTGTAAACATACACAGATGATACAAAATGTATCAAACGATTCTGTTAATGTAAAGTATTATATAAGTGAGGAGGAAATACTAAATACTTTAAAAAGGACTAAAAATAACTTAACAGCAGGTCCAGATGAAATTCCAAATTTTCTTTTAAAAGATTGTGGTGCAATATTTGCAAAACCATTGCATTCCATATTTAATCTGATTATAAAAACATCTCATTTTCCCTCTGTTTGGAAAAAAGCTTGTATTACACCTGTATTTAAGAAGGAGAATCCAGCCAAGATTGAAAACTATCGCCCAATAGCATTACTATGCAATTTCTCAAAAGTTTTTGAATCAACCATTTATAAACAAATACATTTATTCTACACTGAAACCTTCAATATCACCATATCAACACGGTTTTGTAGAAAAACGATCCACCATTACCAACTTAGCCTACTTTACGTAATATGTCTCTGAAGCTATAGATGGCAAAAGTCAAGTTGATGTGATATTTACGAATTTCACTAAAGCATTTGATACAATAGATCATTTCATATTATTAGATAAACTAAAATTAATTGGCTTTTCTGAATCACTAATACTTTTGTTAAAATCTTATGTTCGCGGCAGAATAAATTGTGTCAGATATAGAAATTATCGGAATGGGACTATTTGGCGGCCGACTTGGCGCAGCCAACTTGGCACAGCCAACTTGGCGCGGCCAACTTGGCGCGAGCCATTTTGGCGCAAAGCCAACTTGACGCAGGGACACTTTGGCGCAAGCCATCTTGGCGCGAGTGCGTCGGTATATAACTGCGTTTCAAATAAAATGCGCCACCTAGAAGGAGTGGGCGTAGAATGTTGAAATTTGGTGGAGAAGACTACTGCATATAGACAAACATTTGATTAAAATTTCAAAGAAAAAATAAAATGTCTAACACAAGAAATGTTAATAATGTGTTAAAATTCCACGTGCGCGAATACAAGACTGTACTCTTCTAGGCATGCTTAAAATGAGATGATCTATTGCCTGTCGGGGTATCTCATTCGAGGCATTTTGAATTTGTTGTAGCAGTTCTTCCAAAGTCTTTGGAGGATGTGGTAAATTGCGCAGCCTTCTATGCATTACATCCTAAACATGTTCGATTGTTGATAAATCTTGTAATCGGGCAGGTCAGGGTAAGAAGTTGACGTTATTTTCTTCAAACACTCTTTAAGTTAATATGGTCACATGAGGCCACGCATTATCTTGTTGAAAAGATGTTCTTCGACGGTTCTAGAGGTAAGGAAAAAGAATTTGATTTAACACGTTATCGATGTAACGCCGCGCATTTAGCGTGCCTGGAATGAACACTAAGGAGGTACTTCAAGAGATGTGTATACCACCCCATATCATCATTACTCCAGGTGTTAGAGCGGTATGACGTCTCTGTACAAATTCCAGATTTTACCTTTGGCCTCGAGGCCTTCGAACACGTATGCGTCCATCAGAGTGCCACAAACAAAACCTAGACTCGTTTCTAAACATTATGACATTCCACTGTTACAGCCATTGCTGATTGTCTTGGTACCAGTGAAGCTTGGTAGCTTTGTGTTCTTGTGGTAAGGGAAGTTTACAGTTGGGACCATAAGATCTCAAGCCAAAGGAACGAATTTGGCGGTAGATGGTACTCCTCGGATTCTGTACCCAATTGCTGTCATCCAGTCCATCCCGACTGATCGTTATGGTTACCAGGGGTATTGATAACACTTCTTCTTAGCAAATGATCTTCGCGTTCTTGGGTGACTTTGAAGCGGTTGGTACCCCTGCGACGCATTTG